TGCCAGGCTGGAGTGCAGTGGCGCCATCTCGGCTCACTGCAACCTCTGCCTCCTGGGTTCAAGCAATTCTCCTCCCTCAGCCTCCCGAATACCTGGGAGTACAGGTGCGTGCCACCATGCCTAGCTAATTTTCATATTTTTAGTAGACATGGGGTTTCACCATGTTGGCCAGGATGGTCTCCATCCCTTGACCTCGTGATCCGCCTGGCTCAGCCTCTCAAAGTGCTGGGATTACAGGCGTAAGCTGCCGCATCCAGTCCTGTTTTTTCATTTATTTATTTATTTTGAGGCAGAGTCTCACTCTGTCGCCCAAGCTAGAGTGCAGTGGCACAATCTCAGCTCACTGTAACCTCCCCCTCCTGGGTTCAAGGGATTCTCTTGCCTCAACCTCTGGAGTAGCTGGTACTATAGGCACATGCCACCATGCCCACCTATTTTTTTTGTATTTTTAGTAGAGATGACGTTTGACCAGGTTGGTCAGGCTGGTCTCGAACTCTTGATTTCAAATGATCCACCCACCTTAGCCTCCCGAAATGCTGAGATTATAGGCATGAGCCACTGCACCCGGCCAGTGTGTCTATTGTTTCTATTGCTGCTCATGCTTTTGATGTAATAGCTATCAATTCATTGCCAAATCTAAGATTATGGAGATTTACTCTTATGTTTTCTTCTGTGAAGTTTGGTTTTAGCTCTTAAATTTAAGTTGCTGATCCATTTTGAGTTAATTTTTGTATATGGTATGAGATAGTGGTCCAAATTCATTCTGCTTTCTTCTACTTTTTATAACTTCTATAAGAACTGAAATACATTTAATCTGTGACTTCTTTGAAATGTGTTGTTAGAAGCCAGGATGGAGCAGGTTTTTCCGAACCCTGAGTCCTAGTGGCTTATAACAGCACACATATTTCTTGTCTGCACTGTACTAGTCTCTTAGAGCCTGGAGCCTCTGCTCAGGAATGAAGCTGACAAAACGTCCAGCATGTGGCGGTCTCTGTGGAAGGGGTGAGGTCTTTTGTGCTCAATCTTGTCAAGGCTTCCACTTTGGCTTACTTTCACTGACCAAGCAAGTTACTTAGCCGTGGCCAGCTTGATGAAAGATGTGCAGTCCTAGCAGGTGTTTGGAAAGAGAAGGAAAGAAAGTAGGTAATGCACAGTGCCCACCAGAAGATATCACTGAACATGATGGTGTTTGCAAAATATTTGACGTATTTGTTCCAAGTTTAAAAATTTTAAAACATTCCCATTTAAGTGGAGTCTAAAAGGATATGGTAAAGCATTATTGATTCAGAATTTGGGGTAAGTTTTATACTAACTGTGCTTGCTGAAGTTTACTTTTTCATTATTGTAAAGAAAAGTTGTTTAGCTAGATAATAATGTAAATGGGATTTAATGAAGAGAATCCTTGGCTTGATTTAGAAAAACAATTTCTAGGTAATTTAGTAGGATGTATTTGAGTAGATGTTATATTCATTTGATAAACTTTTCTGTTTCAAATAGTGAAACAAGAAGGCAATAATAGTAATAGATTTGAGAAGCACTTTAAGACTATTGCTTTTATCAGGATTTTAAATTTAAAATCATTAAAACACTTCATAGCTTGTAAATCCTATGGATTAGGATACACTAGTTTGTGTGACTTCCATAATCCAACATTAGAGCTTGGTTACCCACAAAGTAACAAAAATTCTGACATTAATTTCTAGTTGTCTAGTCTCTTACATGCTGTATCTAAATTATAGAAGTATAAAAATTAAAATGTATAGCATTTGTCAGCTACATTGCTAAAAATACGGCATTAGAAAACAGAGAGTGATATTATGGAACACCAGTAGGTGTCAGTCACAGCCTGTGCAAGGGCTGATTATTTGCCAGGAGTTTGGGGCATCTATTCCTAAATGTCTGTGTGTTTTAAGGCATTATTCTAATGAACTGCAATTTTCTCAAAGTGAATGTGCTTATTTTCAAATAAAAACACAATGTACCTACTTGTTAATAAAGACATAGAGATGCTCTATTGGCAGCAAAAGCATTATTTCAGTGCTTAATTGTGTGTAGAGCTACAGCTCAAAAGAACTAACTAGTTTGTCATGGAAAGATTAGAATGCTATTTGATGGAGCCAAGTAGACATGCAGAAAGAATGGCCGTGGAGTGTGTGAATTAGCCAGATAAAGTATTGATATTAGCAGATGAAACTAGTTGAAGGTCTAACAGTCAAACAGCATTTCTTTTTGGACAAATCTTTCCTTTTTATAGGAACAGCTATAATGAAGGCCCTCCACCCACTGGTTCCCTAATTTTTCTAGGATGCTTTGTATGTATGCCCATAAACAGAAGTGTATAGTCTCAAGGGAGATACTGATAATAAAAACAAAACACACCAGGGATTTAGACGGATCCACAAGGAACATCTGAGAAATGACTAGTTTTGAAGGACCTTGTTGCATATATCAGTATAGAAACATGGGGCAAAAAGAATCACAGCTTTCAGCATTTGAAAATGAAATACAAATGGTACTGATAAGAGTGGGTACTCGAAAATGCTTCCTTGATTTCTTAACAATATTCATATTCAGTGATACTTGGTTATCACAAAAGGGAAGGATATGTATATATAAACAGTTTGGGATACTGTTGCTAACTATTTAAATACATCAGTATGCCAGTATGACATTAATAATGACATTTTCTGGTTTAAAATAAACCAGTGATATTCCATTGTGTTCAGGATTTTTTAAAAGCTATTCCTTAGTATAAAATATAAGCCCTTAGTGATCTGTTCCTTGCCATTCCCTGTAAAATCATACATCTTCATACCCAATGGCCCAGACATACCAAACTAATGTCACTTGTCCTAGTGAATGTTTAGATCTCAAATTGTATACAATTGATTATAATCAATTGTATAACAGCTTATGCTGCACACAGCAGATCTTAAAATTCAATTTTAATTTTTTTCAATTATAAAAGACACATGCTCATTGTTAAAAATCCAAGTTTCTCTATGAAAAATTTCTTGGTTATTTAAAATAGTCAACTTTCTAGTCCTTAACACATTAGTTTTTCTATTGACATGATTGTTTTTCTAACATTTTTGAAAATGTAAGATTTCTTCAGGAGTGCTGTTATGTAGTTATAGCAGAATGGATTGTATTTGCAATTTCCCAGTTGTACCTTGTTTTCTTTTGGCTTTTCATATGTTGCTTCTTGTGCCTAGAAAGCTATACAGAACTACCCTCCTCTCCATTCCATGTCAGCCTGTTATAATTTATGTCTTTTGGAACTCGGGTCAGACCTAATGTCTTCTAAAAAGCCATTCTTGATTCGTTATTACTGATACACAGTTTACCCTATAGTATGCTTGAATGTAGATGAAAAAAATTAGTTCTGACTCAGTGTGCTCCTTCAGCCTTTCGACTCTTTCTTTTCGTTTGTGTAAATTTGAACCCCCTGTGTGTGTGTGTGTGTGTGTGTGTGTGAGAGAGAGAGAGAGAGAGAGAGAGATTATATGTGTATATATGCATATATCTGTGTGTGTGTGTGTGTGTGTGTGTGTGTGTGCAGACTGGCTTTCAGTTATTTACAGGAGGCTTTCTCCCCTACCCAGTACCTCCAGCAGAGAGAAGCCTGCTTTCAGTCTGTGAGTAGAATTGTTCTAGGATTCCTTTCATGGAAAGGCCAGCCCTTTCAGGACTCTGACTTTTTCTGGGTAAGGGACCTAGGTTTGTCTGCCTTTCTCTCTTCTGCCAATGGCCAATTTCCTGTCCCTCCCACATCACACCTCTACTCTGATCTCCAGACCTGTGGCCAGGTCTGACACTCCCTTGGACCACATGAGCTCCAGCTTTCCCTGTTCATTTGGAGCTTAGTCGGGTCTTGTACCTGGGGGCCCTGCAGATTTCCCTTATTTTCTCTTGAGGAGCATGATTTGGGAATTTGGAGGATATATTAGTTTTTTAGGGCTGCCGTGACAAATTATCAAAAACTGGGTGACTTGAAACAACAAAAATGTATTCTCTGACAGTTCTTGAGACAAGAATTCCGCAATCAAGGTGTGGTCCGAAATGGTTCCTTTTCAGATTGGTTCCTTCTCAGGGCTCTGAGGGAGCATGTGCTCTTTGCGTTTCTCCTTGCTGGGAGTTGCCAGCAACCTTCGGTGTTCCTCAGCTTCCAGTTGTGTCACTTCAGTTTCTGGTTCTTCCCTCTGTCTGTGTGTGTGAAGCACATTTTCATTTCTTCCATGACCATGGATTATGAGGTTTGTGGTTTCTCTAAGGCAGGGGTCCCCAATTCCTGGGCTATGGACCTGGTACCTGTTAGGACTGGGGCCACACAGCAGGAGGTGAGTGGCAGGCAAGCGAGCGAAGCTTCATCTGTATTTACAGCCACTCCCTGTCACTTGCATTACCGACTGAATGCCATCTCTTGTCCTATCAGCAGCAGCATTAGATTCTCATAGCAGAAACCCTATTGTGAACTGCACACGGGAGGGATCTAGGTTGCGCACTTGTTATGAGAATCTAATGCCTGACGATCTGTCACAGTCTCCCATCACCCCCAGATGGGACCGTCTAGTTGCAGGAAAACAAGCTTAGAGCTCCCACTGATTCTTCATTATGGTGAGTTCTATAATTATTTCATTATGTATTACAATGCAATAATAATAGAAATAAAATGCAAAATAAACGTAATGTGCTTGAATCATCCCCACACCACCCCCACAACCTTCTCTGGAAAATTGGTCTTCCAGGAAACCAGTCCCTGGAGACAAAAATGTTGGGGACCACTGCTCTAAGAGACATTGCTTTTTATTGTTCGAATTTATAAATTTAAATTGTAGTATGGTCTCTGTAAGAATAGAACCCAGACCTGCTGATTAATTATTTTCACATTTTCTCAAAATTTACACCCCTCAAAAAGGTAGTACTTTGTATTTAAATAAATTAGAAATGTCTCGACATTTTTCAAAAATAAAATTTAATTCTGAGTTTTTAATTTTCAGCCAGAAAACCTTGCTCAGAAGCTTCCAAACCTTGTGGAACTGTGAGTCTGTTTATTCAAATTTTTTAAAAACAAGAATGAACATAATTCTAAGTTATTTGAAATAATAGGATATGTCATCTTAATGTATTAATTTGTTATTTTTTGGTATCATGATCATGGTACTCATGTAGGTAGACCTGTGATTCTACTAAACCCGATAGTATTTTAAAGTATTTAACCATTTACAATTGTATTTTAAATATTTCACTTCAAGGTAGTGAAGATGATGAGAAATGCCTTTTCTCTGGGTACAGTGTCTTCTGTCACAGAATCTTTGTGGATAGTGCATGTAATTGGGGAACTCTATTATTGTTATTACTACTACTACATGTGATACTTCATATAAACAGATAGCGTAAAATATAAGTAAAAGTCTCTTTTCATGCATCCTCCACGCTTCATTTGTTTTAGTTCTTTTTATGATTACCTCCAAGTGCTAAATACTATGTTTACACCATTGTTTTTTTAATGCACCCGTGTTAATTGTCTGTTAACTTACCACTAAGGAAGATAAATTTAGATATCTTACATTTCCCTCTCTGTCTAGCTGCCTCCTGATTTTTTGCAGGAGGGTTTGCATTGCTATTTCTTGTACTCTCTGTTGTTTGGCACGATTTTCGAGAGGTCAAGGAAGGAAATCTAGCCTTACACCTGCCATCTTTTCTGTCATGTCCTTTGTCCCATCCTTTTATTTTGAAAAATTTCAAACTAACAAGAAAGTTGAAAACATAGAAAGAACACCCGTATACCCTTCACCTAAATTTAACCAATTTTGACATTTTGCCACATTTGCTTTCTCTTTCCTTTTTCTATCTGTCTCCTACCCTTCTGCCCCCCAGAAGCTGAATGATTTGAAAGTAAATTATAGACATAATGTCATTATCATACCTAAGGAAAGTAATATTCATTATAATTTAATACACAGCTTATGTTTAAATTATGTAAGTTTTCAAAAATAATGCCTTTTAAAAGTAGATGTCTGAATTCACTGGATTATTTCCTCTTGATTACATTGATTTAAACATTTTTGATGGTGTTTGACCGCAAAACTTGCTTTATCAAGTTTCTGGTTTCATCCTTTTGTATGTGTGTATATGTGTATTATTTTCTGAAGTTTCTGATAGTTATGCACATCATGGTTTTTTCTTTTCCTCTAAATACGTAAGTATGTATTTCTAGGAACAAGGCTGTCTTTCCATCTTTTTAGTTTACTTTTGTGTCCTTTAGGTACTTTATAGTTTTATTTAAAACAGGTTTTGAAAATTTCTAAAGTCTGTTACTAAGTATTTAATCTTTTTTTTTTACTATTGTAAATGAATTTTGTCATGTGTTATATCTTCTAACTGGTTATGTTTTGTATATATGAACAATATTGATTTTTGCATGTTAACTTTATATCCTGGTATCTTGCTGAAATCTTTATTGTTTCAATTAGTTTTCATGGTAGATTCTCTATAAAGTTTTCTAGATGTACGCTTACGTTGGAAAATACAGATGGTGTTACTTCTTCTTTTCCAACTGTTATCCCTTTAATTACTTTCTCTAGTCTTATTGCATTGGCTAGTTCCTCCATACAATGTGAAAGTGTCCTGGAGATAGTGGACATCCTCGTCTTCTTTCTTGAAAAAAAAACAAAAAATTTAAGACCGAATTTCACTCTTGTCGCCCAAGCTGCAATGCAGTGGCACGATCTCGGCCCACTGCAACCTCTGCCTCCCAGGTTCAGGCAATTCTCCTGCCTCAACCTCCCAAGTAGCTGGGATTACAGGTGTCCACCACCACGCCTGGCTAGTTTTTGTATTTTTAGTGGAGACGGAGTTTCATCATCTTGGCCAGGCTGGTCTCAAACTCCTGACCTTGTGATCCACCCGCCTCAGCCTCCCAAAGTGCTGGGATTACAGGCATGAGCCCCTGCGCCTGGCCTCTTATCTTCTTTCTGACCTTGCTGGGAATGCCTCTAGGGTTTTCCCCATTAAGAAAGATGCTGACTTTACAGTTAAAGTATCTGTAATCTATTGTTTTAAGCAAATATTCATCTTTATTAATTATCTATTGCTGCTTAACAACTTACCCCCAAATGTAGTGATTTAAACATTCAATATCTTATATTTTCTGAGGCCCCAGAATCTGGGCCTGACTTAGCTGGGTGCCTTTGCCTCCAGGTCTCTTACAAAGCTGCAGTCAAGGTTGTTGGCCAGGACTGCAGTCTCATCTGAAGACTTAACTGAAGAAGGACCTTCTTCTATGTTCATTCATGTGGTTGTTGTCAGGTTCAATTCCTTGTAGGCTGTTGAACTGAAGGACTCTGTTTCTTGCTTGCTGTTGGCTACAGCACCTCTCTCAGTTCCTTGCCATTTGGCCTTTCTATAGGATAGTTTACAACATAGCAACTGGCTTCCATCAGAGCAAGCAAGCCAAACAGCAAGAGAGAGTATACACTTTCTCCCAATCCCTGGTAATCACTAATCTACTTTCTGCCTCTATGGATATACCTTTTTCTGGATGTTTTGTATTAGTGGAATGAAACAATATGTGGCCTTTTGTATCTGGCTGCATTAACACAGCATAATGTTTTCAAGGTTTATTCATGTTGTAGCAGGTATCAGAATTCATTCCTTTTTATGGCTGAATAATATTCCATTGAGTAGATACATGACGGTTTGTTTATCTGTTCATCAGTTGATAGACATTTGTGATGTTTCCACATTTTGAAAGCTTTTCCTTTTACGGTTTCTGGTTTGTCAGTTGTTTGTTACAACTGTTTCAGGCAGCTGTGAAGTTAAACAATTGCCTGTAATTTGTTTCAGTTTACAACGGTTTTTGCACTGGGCAATCTCGTAGTCAGATGGAATAAAGACAGCCTTGCAAGTGGGTCTTCCAGGGAACCATGAGACGAATCTTTGACAGTTCTCTGAGAAGGAAGCTTTTAAGGCACTCTAATGTGGTCCTACCCCTTGCTACTGCTTTTCTCCTTGATTGTGGGCTGTTGGTTTTTCAGTCTTCTGCAGAGCAGGAGAGTGGGGTTTGGACTAGAGCAAGTGAAAATACCATGAAGCCTACAACCCACTGTTCTTACTGATGTTCAGTCATTTTTTTCTTGAATAAATTCTCCCTATATTACTGTAAGCCTTAGGTTCATTTCCAGAGTTCTCAACATGTAGCATTTAGACATTTCTGACAGTTTCTCATTGTTTTTATGGAAGGGAATTTTTGGAGGTTCTTACTCTACCACTTTTGCTCTAAATTTTTAGTTTTGTAAAAAAACTGCCAATTTACCAGATTAGCTGTCCCATTTTACATTTCCCCTGGCAATGTATGATTGTTCCAGTGTCTGCACATCTTACCAGCATTTGGTGTTGTCTTTGTTATTTTAGTCATTTTGATAGATGTGTGGTTTTTATTACATTGGAATTTTCATTTGTATTTCTATAATGACTAATGATATTGAACATCTTTTTGTAGACTTATTTGTCATTGGCATCTTTCTTTTGGTGAAATGTCTGTCCATGTCTATTGCTCATCTTCTGATTGTATTTTTTTTTAATTTATGAGTTTTAAGAGTTCTTTGTAAACTAGTTTTCTGTTTTATATGTTGTTTACAAATATTGTCTCCCAGTGGATAGCTTGTGTTTTCATCCTCTTTATGTTCTTTTGCAGAACAAAAGTTTTACATTTCAATGAGGTCCAGTTTATCATTTTTTGCTTTTATGTGTCCTGCTTTTGATGGCACATCTAAAAACTCTCTGTCTAGCCCTACGTCCCAAAGTCTTTCTCCTTTCCCCACCCACCCCCCAAAGTCTTACAGTTTTTTTATTGTACATTTGTCACCTATATTTAAAATTTTTTTTTCTGGGATTAGAATTCTTAGTGACCATTTTATTTTCCTATCAGCCCTTTCATGATATTCATTATTCCCTGGTGTGCATAGTTTCTGAAGAAACATCTACAGTTGTTACATTTGTTTCTTTGTGTGTAATGTGTCTTTTTCTCCCTTGGGCTACTTTGAAGGGTTTTAAGGGATTTGATTTAGATGTATCTTGTTGTGGTTTTCTTCTTTCTTACCTTTGAGGTTCATGGGGCATCTTGGGGTTGTGTCGTCACAGTTTTTATCAAATTTGGAAAATTTTGACATTGTTTCTTCAGAGACTTATTTATATACCCTGTGCCTGGCCCCTGCTTGTGGAACTCTTACATGTTTGTTAGACTGTTTAATACTGTCCTGTAGTCACAAAGACTCTTCATTTCCTTTTCAAACTTTTATTCCCTATGTGCTTCAGTTTGGACAAACTGTATATTCTAGTTAAGAGTCAGTAATATTTTCTTCTTCAGTGTCTAATGTACTATACTAATCCCACTCAGTGAAGTTTTCTCTTTGGTTGTTGTATTTTTTTTTTTTTTTTAAGAGACAGGGTCTTACTCTGTCACCCAGGCTGGAGTGCAGTGACTCTATCCTAGCTCATTGCAGCCTTGAACTCCTGGGCTCAAGGGATCCTCCCATCTCAGCCTCCCAAGTAGCTAGAAGTACAGGCATGCACCACCATGCCCAGCTACATTTTAAATTTTTTCATAGACATGGGGTCTTGCTGCGTTGCCCAGGCTGGCTTTCTGTTTGTATTTTTGAGACAAGGTCTTACACTGTCACCCAGGAGTCACACTGGAGTGTAGTGATGCAATCGTGGCTCACTGTAACTTCAAACTCCTGGTCTCAAGTGATCCTCCTGCCTCAGCCACCCAAAGCTCTGGGATTATAGGAGTGTCACTGTGCCCAGCCTGTTATTGTATTTATGATATCTGGAAGTTCTATTTATGCTTCTTTATATCTTACAGTTCTTACAATGTTCATATTTTCATTTAAATAGTTGAATATAGTTGTTATAGCTATTTTAATGTCCTGTTTGCTAATTCTATCATCTGTGTCATACTGATTTTATTTGTAGTGACTGGTTTTTCTCCTGGTTATGGGTCATATTTTCCTGATTCTTGGAATGTCTAATACTTTT